ATTTATAACAGATTCGACATTAATTTCACTTGCCTTATTAACATTTTAGCATGTATAGATTAAATATTAAGACCTATTTTAAGATCTGTTCGAAAATAACACTTTACTTACTTATAAAATCTTTGCGGACGCTGATCTTTCAGTCAAATAAGCCAGAAAGATTAAAATATAAGCATAAGCTTTCATCTTCTATATTCCTGGATCTTCTACACCGGACATTAGATTATTGAACGATGTAGCTGTTAACATCGCTTCATGGACTACGAATTTGGAAACGAGTGCAACAACTGCACCACTCAAAACACGCTGAAACTGTACTCCACAGTGAATAAACAGAAGATGAACCAACTTCCTTCGCCCGATTAGGTTACGACGTTGCCAGAGAGACCTGGCCAGTCACACCTAACATCGTCAACGGAGCCACTGTCCCCGTTTTCCGAACAGCAGCCGAGAGCCGAACAACAAGTACAACAAAAAGAGAAAGTTATGCGGGGTTGAAAAAGTCGTTCGTCCATGTTGTTCGGAGTTGTAGCACGACAAGGGGGTCTGGGTGGGGGGATTCCGGGAGATAGTTCGGGGGCAGTTGTCGGACGGGGGTCGATTCGGCACGGACGTTCCGATCGAAAAGTCAGGGTGGTCGGTCAGGTGAACGATATCCGTGTATATAGTTATACAGGAACCCTAGGAAACGAGCTTACTGGTGCATTCCGGGTTCAGCTCACCGGCGAAGGCTCCTCGCGCGCGTGCAGGAGCGCCCGCGCGTTCGTTCGTCTGACGCTTAATACCAGTTTCACGGCTTGATAAGCCGAAGCGTGTAATTTTGCAGCGGCTCCGGAGTCGGATAAGCACCAGGTTTTCTAGTTAAGTGGACCACAAAATTCGGGGAAGCCTATATAAGGCTTTTCGAGGTAGAAGGCGATCAGTCGAGCCGCAGAGCTCCCCGGCGTACTATCCGCGCCCGAATTGTTCCCCGGTTTCTCCGGTTTACTTTCGGCTATCCTGCGCCATACCCTGCTGGTGCCACGACATTCGACAGCCGTATCGCGTCGTCTGCGTCTGTCCGCGCGGCGAATTATACGCGACGTTGCGCCACCAGGAAGCTGGTTCGGCTCGTTGCTCGCGATCTACGACGAGCCACCACACCAACGGCGACGAAATCATCTCGAGGCGTGCTTCGCCTCCTTCGGTGTTTCCTCTGGTTTCAAGGAGCTACGATTTATTGTTCTTTAGGTCTTAGCTGATACGTCGACGCGATTGTGATTGCGGTTCCTTCCTATTCTTGAACATTCTTCGTTACCATGTTCTCTGGAGATGTGTTATCGGATTCCGTATTCTTCATAATTTGTCATTGGAGGTTCATCTTGCATCTGAACATTCTTCCTATTGGGTTGGCAGGAAAGTAATTTTGGCATTTCAATGTGAAACAAAACTCAATTTTTTCTATCCAGGAAATGAACTTTAATCAGTCAAATATTTTCCATTCCGTTCGATGACCTTTCGCCATCTTTCTGGTAACTTCATAATTCCGCGCTCATAAAACTTCTGGTCCTTATCAGTAAAAAACTTAATCAAGTGCGATTTGAGGCTATCGTTATTATTGAAATTTTTACCATTTAAAAAGTTTTGTAAACTTTGAAATAAATGATAATCCACTGGTGCAAGGTCGGGGCTGTATGGAGGATGCGACATCACTTCCCAACCAAGCTCCAATAATTTTGTACGTGTTGCTAAAGATGTGCGAGGCCTCGCATTGTCGTGGTGGAACACGATTCCTTTGCGATTTGCCAATTCTGGCCTTTTCATTTTGATTGATTCCTCCAATTTCATAAATTGTTGGCAGTAAACATCTGAGTTAGTCGTTTGGTTGCTTGGAAGCAGCTCAAAATATACAACACTTTTATAATCCCACCAAATTGACAGCATGATCTTTTTCTGATGCAATTCAGCTTTCGATATGATTTGTGCTGATTCATCGTGCTTGAATTATGAACTTTTTCGATTAATGTTATTGTAAACGATCCATTCTTCATCACCAATGATAATTCGTTTCAGAAAAGGGTCAATTGCATTAAGTAAATTTCTTTCAATTTGAAATCCAAACATGGAGCTTCTTAACAAGTCCAAGACATCTTATGTGATATTCAGTTGTTGTGTGTGATACATTTAACTTTCTTGCAATCTCTCGTACAGTTATATGACGATTCGATTCAATTATAGCTTTGATTTTGTCATCATCAATTTCAAAAGGTCGACCAGAAGGTTGGTCACCTTTAAGTGACCAGATGATCTTCAGAACGAAATTTTTTTAATCAATTCTGACACATGCGTTCTGTTAAGCAATCGACGCCATAAACTTCGCATATTTTTTCGTGAGATATCGGCCTTTATCTTGCCTTTATGAAAATGATGAAGATGTGTCGAAAATGTTCACTTTTGCACTCCGTGTTAAAATTGACAGCAAACTATCAGTTGTAAACAAAACTACACGGAATTTGTTTCTATAGTAATCTAAAAGAATTACAACCTTAACAAACCAATGACGATGCAAACATAATGCTAGCTATTGATGCAAACCGAAATTATTTTCTTGCCAGCTCAATATAATACCTGGGGACGTGTTATTGGTTTCCATGCTCTTCGAGATTGATACGTATAGTGCACTCGCAGACTTCCTAAAAATAAAGTCAAGACTTACGGGAGTAATATACAAAGCACTTTTTTATGTAAAGAAATGTCGTTATTCAGTTATGTATTTGCCGTTGATACATATGACGAAAAGCATAACCTTACGCGGCTATATATATACTTTCGACATGGTTTATGGTGATTTGTTGCTCTTATTTATTGTAGGTAATCCACTTTTCATCGCACGATTCGTTTGAAAAATAAATCTCTTTTCTCATGTTTCCTCAGAAAATCAGAAATGGAGATTTGGTCGAAGAGATTTGCTTCTCAACTCGGCTAACATAAGCGAGTTGATGCAAATGATTTTCTACTGACGTTTGTGACATTCGAAGCTCTTGTGCAAGTGCTGATATTGTGTAACGAGGACTGTTATAGATTACTTTTGGCGCACGCATTTTTTTATTACATTCTCCCCGTAAACCATGCAGATCTTCTTACAATCTGTTACGTTTTTGTCTTTTCTAAAATAAAAGAATAATTTCCATGTTTCAATTTCCGTCAAACTTGCTGATTGAATTAGATTACCGAAATCTTTGATGATGGTATTTTGGATATAATATTTGATATTAATTCGTCTGGAGATAAGTTATCAAATTCATGAGGTTTTTGTACTTTTTACGGTTTTAAGTAGATTCACAGTTCCTCGAAACAAAATATCGAGAAAGATTTATGTGACACATGTTATTTTGACAGAGAATATATCGATGTGATTGGTGTGTTTTGTTTTGTCTGATTATCTTTTGTATTAGCATAGTTGAAGACAAGTTTTCTCCAGTAGTCTGAGTAACATAATACATCATAATACATTCACAGAGTTTAGCGAAATAAAATTGAAACTTATGCACGAATAAAGCTTAACTATTCAGTGACCGACATACAACTAACTCTTTCCTTCCACTGGTTTTTTCAGTCTTGAAAATATCTTTAGAAAAAATAAAAATTTATAAAAATAGATCTCATTCAAAACTTTTTTTTGAAAACTCTGCCATATTGCTCTACATTAATCCAGAATTTGTCTTTGATCGTGAAGGATAGACAATGACTAGTGGATTCCAAATTCAGTGATCAAATTCTTTGGAATGTTGCGGTGACAACTTTATTACATATCTTAATTTTGATAATTGTAAAAACCACACAAAATAAGTACGAAAATATACTTCTCTCCACGTTTTGATAGAATTGATACAGGAAATAATAAGAACATTACAATAATTAGCCCAATTAACAAAATCAATAGCTCTCAACTAGTACGTGAGAAAAAGCTCAGTCCAAATACTTTTTGAGTGCATTGTGCAGAATTTATTGGATGCTTTATGTGTATCTATTGCAAGTTACTACTTTTCGAGTCTTCCATTGCCTAGGCCCTGAAAGGCTTCCGAAAAATTTGAAAAATTCTAAGCTATTTATTATAGCCACCAGTTTAACGAGTGCGAGTGATAATTTAGCTAAATATTTATACTTTTTTGTTATAAAAAAATATTTCAATAAAAATATAAAATATATTTCCGTATTTTCGTTTAAACTCAACATGTGTACAGAAATACCCAAAATGTTTTGTTACATATTATTATTAATATCACTGGCACAATCTCCAGTATATGTTTATGTATATGAAGCAAGTAAAATCACAAGTAAAATCACTTAATTCATTATAAAATATTTTATATTAAATAGATATTTTTAGATACAACAGTATGCATAACTAATCACGTTTCTTACATTCATTCATCAAGGTTTCGTGTCTATCTAGCACACGTGATTCGCTTAACGTGGATGTTCATACTGAGTTTGTGAGTGCATAATTTACCAGCCAGTAGCAGTTTAAGTGTGCTTTAGTAGTGCACTCATGTATATTGAAGCAAAGTACGTAATGTACTTCATTGTTGTATAACAATGCAATTCTGTCGATGTGATCTGCAGGAATTAAAATACACATTGAATTTAAGTCATGCAACATTTTAAAAAATTACCGTATTATCATTTCGCATGCATAGTAAATTAAAAATTTCAAGGACCGTAATTGAAGTGAATGCAAATATTGTATAAAAACAGTATAATTTAAAATTGTATAAAATCATTGGCAACGTTACTGTAAAACTGTTTTGTTCAAGACAGTTAATTTTATAACTTTATTTGATTTTTAGATAATGAAGAACGAAAATAATTTTTCTTCATAGGAACGCATTGAACATAATTATTTATGTGCAAAAGTTATTGCAAATATGTATATTTTTATTTATATTCTTATTTCATTTATTATTTATTATTTATTTATATTATTATTATTATTTATTGTTTTATATTATTTATAATATTTATATTTTTATGCATATTTCTAGAATGTACAGTAAATTCAGTGTTGTAAGTCAGTAAAATCAGGCTCTTGAAAACATTATGTTATAAACGTTTGGGCTTTGCAAACGGTATTCTGGCAAATATATGTGTTTGTAACAGAACGTAGTGGTAGTATAATATAAAACGTAGATATGGTAAATCGATATTTAATCGATATTTAATTAATATAAATCGATAATCTAAAAAATTAAGTGTACTAAATTTCACAATTTTCCATAACACGTGGAACCCAATAAATAGAGTTTCGTGCATCTAATAACATTGATCCAAGAACGATTCATTTGGTCGGTTCGCGGCTGTGTAAACAAAAGCATCGGAACCGCTCGATGGGAAAAGTATTTAACCGCTAAAAGACGGGCAAATTTAGTTGAGGTTTTTTCTGCGTTTTGCCATCGCCGGTGATTTGTCAGCGAGCGATTTTCAGCGCGCGCGTAGGCCAGTCCAAATATCCTTGTTTACGCACGCTCGACGCGATAATGCTTGTAAATAATGGTGAAAGTTTGTTGATTTGCCATTTGTCGATCGACGCTCGCCGCGTGAATAACTTTGCTTGTCGTTCGTCGACCAACACAATTTCGAGGAGTGAGAATCAAGTCGCTGGAATTGTCCGCGTAAACGTGAAACAATTCCATCGGCAGTGCGCGGAATTATACAGCGACTAGTGGGTTCGACACACGACGCGTAATTACACGGAATTATCGATACCGTCGAAATGTGAAACTATGAAACCATAAGTCCGAATTATAATTCATCTGTTTCTTACCGATCACTTGATTCATTATAAAATATTCTATATTCTTGTATCCTTTAGTTTAAGTTTAATCGTGACAGAAATATTAAGGCCAAGAAACCACAAGGAAAAATAATTTATATAATTGTTCTAATAAGTTGTATTTGAAGAAAATAAGCGTGCTCGATAAATGATTGTGATTTATATTCTTTTTCGATCCCACGACCAGGCAAATCGAAGTTCAACTTTAGGTACGTCATAATTAGACTGCAGATGTTTATGCAAAATAAAAATTGTCTACTCGTGCAATAAAGTGAAATAATATAAAAGATAGTTTTATGCCTTAAAAAATGTTAAAGGTTGAAAATAATGTAACAAATATTTTTACGCTATTTAAAGCGTTACGATAACAAAACGCTGCCTAATATTAAAGTTTCCAAGATAATCATGTAAATAAACTGCGCATGTTTAGCGCTGCATGCAATTTATATTCAACCTTGAAAAAATCACGATTACAGCGTCAGTATGATGAGCGATCATTAATAACGTATTCATCTGACGTGACTTCATCTAATTATCATTTGTATGGATTGCAACATCATTCAACAAACGTGGGTTTTAATCAGTTCGAAAATGTCTCGATATATTGAGGTCACTAGTAGTAATAGAATACAGTAGTTATTTTTCTATAAAATTTTATGCTAGTAATATAATATAGACAATTCTTTTTTAGTCCAGGACAGTCGAATTGAGTGATATCAATGCAAGATCTGAAACACTTCGAGCCGCATGATATTCCTATGAGGAGTCTTTTCTAAAAAATACCGTGACAATTTCACGTTTAGCAATTAATATTCAAACAGCGGACATTTTTGACAAAATTATATCTTATTATTTAATGATTATTTACAATTTTATTTATCAATATTTTCAGCATATTTTCTAAGGTACTTCTTCTAGACGAATGGATCTGAGCCTCGCTCTTCGAATCATAAAAAAAGATTCTAGATAGCTAAAACATTTACACAATGTTTCTATATATTTCTAATACATCGATACACACTTTTCAATGGACGAGGTTAGTGTGAAATGTGTTTTGGTTAGACGTGTTGTTTTAGTTTGACAATTTTTATTTTGCATAGAAATCTGCAGTTTACTCATTACTCTATCCATAAATACATTACCTACTCCTAAGGGAGATGCCGCGATTCGAACAGTGATCGATCATCGATCTATCTATTGGTCCATAAGTTAGGTATTTTTTACACGTGCACACGCTATAAGATACCTAACTTATGGACCAATAGATTGATGCATTGTTAATATATTAATATAGATGTATTATATTATACATATTATAAGTCCATATACGATAAGGAGCATAATTGAACCAACAACCACAAGTTTTGTATAAATCATTATTTATTGCTAGGAATATACAAGAATAACGAAAAATAAACATTATTTTCATCATAGTTAGGGGTAACATAAGAAATTTTTGCAATAATTAATGTCTTGTTGTTTAGGAATGACAACAACAGTAAATTGAATCGGTTTTGCACCACGTCCAATACTTGACAATATTTTATATACTCTTTATTTTTAATACTTCATCCACAACCCTTTTGCTCACAAAACTGTACTAATTCGTTTTGGCATACTTTCTACTAATTTTCTGCAATAATCCGGAGATATTTGTTCCCACTGTTCTTGAATTCTCTTATACAAATCTGTGATTGAAGTTGGTTGGAAGTCATATGAATCCCGAAGTCGTCTTTTTAGAAAACCCCATAGATTCTCTATAGAGTTGAGGTCTGGGCTCTGCGAAGGCCAATCCAGAACAGAGAAGTTTTTAGTATTGAGCCAATTTTTTACACTTTTAGCAGTGTGCTTAGAGTCTCGGTCATGCATGAAAATTACATTTTCTTTTTCAAAAGGCATATTATCAACAGCCTCTATAAGATGATCTTGTAAAATATCCTTGTACATGTACTGATTCATGATGCCATTAATTCGGTGCAGTGATCCAACATCAAATGCTGTTAGGCATCCCCAAAACATTAGGGATACGCCTCTATGCTTTACATGTCGTGGTTTGAGTCTTTCATTTTTAAATTCTGTTAATTTTGGTCTCGTCTAACCAAATAACCCGTTCCTATTCAATAGTTGTCCTGTTTTGGTATTTTTTGGCAAATTCCAAATGAAGTTTAATATTCTTCTTCGATAACATTGGCATCTCTCTTTTTTTTTAACTTCAAAACTCAGCTCCTTTGAGGGTTCTCCGTACTGTCCACTTGCTTATTATATATTCGTATCTTCTTTTAATAATTTTGCAGCCATAGTGGCGATTGAAGCTTCACCAGATGTGACAAACCATATAATTCTTCGTTCAGCCTGCAGTAATAATTTTTTTGGTCTTCCTCCAACATTTAATAATATACTTTTACAGTATTTTTTTCTTATTTTCTACACTGTCGATTGACTAATACTACACTTTCTCGCCGTCTGATGCGTCGACACGCCGTCATTAAAGAAAGAAATTACTTTTTTTAAACAATATGATGCAATTGATTTCATATTTATTTTTACTTCACTTGCGTGCTTTTCCGTTCGACTGATTGCGAGAAACTGAGTGCTAAGACGTGCAAGAACATTTTGTGAACATACAAAACTGCTAGATATAAACACACTGCTAGAACATATTCCACGTAAAGATTCCTTTTATGGACCGGTGTAAAACCGAGTCAAGCTATTTTTATTGTCATTGCTGAACGAGGAGACATTAATTATTGAAAAAATTTCTTGTGTTACTTTTGGCTGTTATAAAAATGACTATAATGTTTATTTTTTAATATTCTCCTATCTTCTTAGCAATAAATAATGATTTATACAAAACTTGTAGTTATTGGTTCAGTTATACTCCTTACTGTATATATAAATTGGTCCATAAGTTAGGTATTTTATAATGTGTACACGTTATATTATGGATCAATAGATAGATTATACATGTTACTGTACAGTAACATGTATAATTAAACAGGATCATCCAAGGAACGGATCACTCCACCGCAGAACTCATTTGGCATGTGATCCTCGCGCGGCGTAGCCGCGCTGACAAACAGAAAATTACATCGAATCTCTAAAGAATTCAAATCCACTCGCGTCGCTCCAGAAACTGCAGGGTCTCAAAGATCCACGTGAGCGTTGAAACTCAAGTTTCCGGGACGGAGGTTCACAAAACGGCAAAAGACATGCGGAACGATAACGTGCACGAGCTGCAAAAGGAGAGCGTTGTAGGGCGAAGAGTATTCCGAAGAAGCGAGCGAGTGAGAGATTCGACAACATGAAAAACTGCAGGAGGAGAAAGTGAGAGTAGAGAGACGGAGAGATGGAGAAATGTGGAGATAAAGAGATAGAGAGGTAGAGAGATAGATATAAAGATAGAGATAGAGACAGAAAGAGAGAGGGTACAGAGAGGCGAGTAAGATGGTAGTACGGGAAGAAGCTACATAGCCGAATCAAGGATGTAGACAGGAAGGATGTTCGTCGAGTGCCATCAACTTAACTTGTACCATGGCACAGCGAGCACGAGCCCATCCTCTTCGGGCTGAAGAGAGCCAAGCCGGCATAATAAGCTTTGTGCGCTGACTGTCGACGGGATCCCTCTCACGGAAGGCTGAAGAGCCAGCAGCAGCAGCAGCAGCAGCAGAAGCAGCAGCATCGGCAGCAGTAGCGACAACGCGGAGGAGCAGCGTAACAGAGAAGCCTTTGCCTCGCGAGGCTGACTATACGCGAGCACCCAAAGAATCGAGCATCTCCTCGTGAAACCAGTCCACCCTTGGAACGGACGCTCCCTGTTCGACTCGACCGCCGTGCGCTGTCGAAAAAATCTAGAAAAGCTAATTACGCTCCCTCTTCTGCTGCCCCGGCGATCTTACGTTTCCGCGCTTCCCTCGCCACGGCGACCGCCTCCCGCTCCCCAAGATGACTGTGCTAACTGCCGACATGGTTCTCCCTCGATGATCCCGGCTGAGGTCTTCCTCGACGACTCTTGCAATTTGGACAGTCATGGCGAACCTCACTCTCAAGAAACTGTCAATTTTTATGCGCAAGTATTCCCCCCACGTACTGCAAATATCTCTGCAGTACTGCTTTCTTGTAACTCGATCTGATCATTTTAGGGGATACTTCGTTAAGTCACCATTTTTGAATAATTTAAGTGGAGCATCGGAAAGCAATTAAAACTGTGGTGGCGTTTTTAACCCTTTGCGGGTGAAACATCCTTCTATTTCAGAATTAAATAAAAATTGTCAATATTGAGAGAGATGTCGCTTTTTAAAAATAATTTTAATGAGTTCTTAACGATGGAATAATGTTACACATCGTTGGGTAACTGGCATTTGTTTGAATGATTTTTCTACTGGACACGAAGCTTTGAATACAATCTCAAACATCTGCAAAGATCGTCACAAGGATTATCACAAGAATTATCACACAATTCATGGATAATATATGGATTTTGCATTCACTTGTTTTCAGATTTAAGAGGTGAAAATAATCGTGAAAGTTATGGTTGAGAGAATTATTTTGTGAAATGGATTGATAATCAATAAAGGTAGAACAAATGTTCAATATAAAAATTGCTACGGTTATTTTCTAACGCGTGAAATAGCTTTATGAAAGTGAAGATTCATAGATGACGACAACGATGTTCGTATGATCCCTATTTCCGTCAATATTTTTTTGAAGATGTGTTAATGTGCACTACTTACCGAAATGGTAAACATACATTATGGTATCAATTTTTTAATACCAATTATAAGTGAAGACAGACATGGAAGCGTACAAATTAGTGGGTGTCTTTGTAAGAAATGATCAAACAAAAGATGCTAGAATAATAACTTTAGACTGTATCATAACTTTTTGTGTTTTGGTTTACTTAATTAAATTCTTATTTATCTAAGAAGAATATAGCTTAATGTGGAGATTACTGTAACGAATAATAATATTCTAATGCGTCAAGCGAAAGATTGCACTTGTTGATAAAAGAATTTATAGAATAAAAAAAATGTGAAAAAAATGAAGCTGACTTCATAGTGTTGCAAACTTTACAATTGTGAAAAAACCCATAAAAGATGCGATTTCTATTTCTTTAGTTTATTCTAACACGAAATAAAGTAAATAACAAATTTATCTGCACAGTTTTCACATTAACAATTAATATTAAAAGTAAATATAATATTACTAACATTAACAATAAATATATGTTGGAAAAATTTATGACTACAATAAATTGAAACGCTAAATGTAATTGATCCAGAAAAAAATTACTAGAACCTGTTAAATCTCCAGAAAAAGTAGTAATTCGGTGGAAATGATATCTGAGGTCGATCAAATTAATTCAGTGCTACAGCTTAAATAAATGATCATTTCAGTTTTACTATGAGAAATCTTTTTTACAATTATCATCATTTTGATTCTTATAATAAAGCTTATGACGATAAAAATTCGCATTCGCAATTTCTTTGAAACTTTTATATTTCAAGAGTATCATTTCGTACGTTAAAACAAATCCTTCAGTACAGTTTTAGTAAATTTGATTTTACACAATACAGTTTTGTTACAACTGTAACGTAACGTATAAAACCAATGAATCGCTCTAAGAGACTCCATTTTGCACGATGACAATAGACATTTAAAAGATATAGACAAACATGCAACGCTTATTTTAGTAGTGTGTTTCGACTCACGATTCTATTCTCATCACGTTATCACCACAATAATGATAGGCGGGTCTTGTTTTAGTCTTACCGACGGCGAGTGAATTGATGGGATGTTGGTATAACGATCTCACAATTACGATCATTGTTTTTTATAGACTTCCTAGTTCCAAGCGTGCGTTTATGGACAAACATCTCTATATTATTACTCAATGATTAAAATATAAAAATTTAAATTTAAAGAAGGCAAAAATTGTTTACTTCCACAACGGTACCATAACTTTCTCACGGGCTGTTACGTTCATATTATTTCACACTTTGAAACAGGAAACATAATTTCTCAAGAGTTCGACGAACTAATCGAAACAGCATTTCTAAACCAACAATATATTTATAAACGTTCACACTTTTATCGAATCTGTTCGAATGACGATTTGAGATATTATTTATTACACAGTTTCGTTAGCCAGAACTTCGTATGAAAAAAAAGAACGCTGAAGATTTTGAACACGACTGCGGAAATTTAACGAACTACTTTCTAGATATTTCTTAGGTTCGGCCGTTATAATTCTGAAAATTAATATTCTTCCACAATTAATGAAAATATTCTGAAACATTCATTCCTCGTTACAATATAAACCGTGTTTTTAACGACGTTGTGAAAATTAACAAACGCTCGTGCAAACAAAGTTTGCCCCAATTTGATCGGAAAGGAGACCCCCGCTCGTTTGACTTTACCGTGGCGGATTACGGTCACGCGGGGATTGATTTTGACGTTCGTAACTCAGAAACGTTTACGTAACCGTATGGTTATTTTAAACGTGCAACGTGGAGCCGTACATCGCGGCAGTGTCCGTTACGATCAACCGGGTAGCGCGATCTCGCTCGTTCGTCCACGGTTAAACGGTTAAACGGAATTGAAAGGTAATGTGTGTACACGCGCAGCGTTAAAACGTTTACAAAAGACTGTAAAATACAAATATCCGGTCGGTACATTTTTGCGAACGCGCAAACGTTTAACGTTGAAACGTTCAATCGTAAAAACGGATAGCAAGCCACTCGTGACGCAAACAATGCAGTGCGCCCGGTGACTTTGGCCTTGAATATGTGTCCACGGCACGTTAGAGTTGTAAGTGGGTTAAAGGTAGTGGCTGTCTGCGGGGTGGTGGGGAAATGGGGGTGAAGTGCATAGTTTGCTCGCGCTTCGAAACAACAGCGAGTGGATCGGCTAACGAAGTGTGTTTGCCGACGGAGGCCAACGGGAACGAAATATGGAAAGGGGTCGGGGGCTAAAGAAAACACGATCCGACGAAATCGTTAACAGTTGACTCATTCGACCTCTCTTTCCCTCGATTCCCTGGGCCGCTCCGATGATTGCGTGCGACGCCGCCGCGTACCAATCGCGGGGGTAGCTCCGAAGAGAGCATCGAGGGTTCTTCGGGTCCAACTTCGTTCCCATAACGGAAAATACTCAACTTTCTCTACGCGTGCTTTTTTCTCCGGCTTTGAAAAGTAGGAGATTCAATTCACTCCAAGTTTTAATGAAGACGGTTCGGATGTGCGGGGTAATTAACCATTGAAAGGCGCGCCCTAGGTCCATTTTCAAACCTAAGTTTCTTCTTTCTTTCTTCGGTTGTAGTAGACTAGTGGAGCCGGTTACCGTGGGGTAACCAATTGCTGTGCATTTGTTTTGTTTTCGGACGTAATTAGGTTTATATCTATCGAATAAGATATATAAAATTTTATTATTCGAGCATAAACAAAATGAATGAATAAAAAAATTTAATGTCTTATTCGATAAATATAAAATTAATTATGCCCGAAAATAAAACAAACCAACGCACAGCAATTGATCACCACACAGTAACTGATTCCACTACCCAATATGTATTGGGTAAATCTTCTAATATGGCGACTTAAAATTACACGTGGATCGTGGACTGTAAGGAAAAAAAAGGTTAAATAAAAGTCGCTTGATATTACAATTCAATATTTCCTTATTTACAGTTTTTCAAATTGACTGATACATTCAATAAACGCTGTAAATATTCGGGGAAAATATAGAATAACTAATTATAAAGCCGAAGATAACTTTCATGTCTTGACGTAACCGTATGCAAAATGTTTTCATAAAGAATTTCAGAGGAACAAGAATCATAACTACATTATATTTTTCGCTATCGGTTTCCCTGAATCCAAAATTAAATGTTACTGTACTACACTCAATAAAAATTTGTAATTTTCGAACTTGATTTTTATGCATAACAAATTCATAAATATCCGCAGTCTACCAATAGCACAGATGACGGATATTCTCTTCATTTAATTAAATGATGCGTATTTTAGGGAGTTTTTATGCGTAATATTTATAGCGCATAAAACGCTTCGAAAACGTAGGAAGGTATGAAGGTAATTGGAATTCAATATAATACCGTTATATTTTTTTGCAGCTGTGAATTTATTGGTGCAATTTAACCAAATTTTACTCAACGTTTTGTTTCTACCAAAATGTGAAATTGCGTAAAATTTAGCAGACTAAATGTAACAATCAATTTATATGCAAGTAAACAACAAATATATGTTATGAAACAATCAGTATACATATATCAAACAATCGGATGAACTAGCTTACAATCAAATGGATTAACAGAAAGCGCTGTATCTCTTTACTGGCTTATGGAACCCCATCACTATTATACACGTATGTATATCCTTATTAGACTATGGATTCCATGCATTTATGAAAAGAATAAGAAGATCGAATGCATAACAGTACTAACATTTAAAAATTTTTTTAAGTATTGTTATATTAGTCTCCACCCGTTAAAATGATTAGAAAAAGAAAAATAGATGTCTACGTAACTTATATGTATCATACAATTAATGCAGACAATTTATATTTAGCTTAAAAATCCACAGAAGTAATTATTAGACTATGTATTGTATGCAATTGTGTCGAAATTGAGTACTTGCAATTTATAGTAGTAGGAAGATTCGAAGAACTTTGGAATACCAATGTAACATTTCCAATCTATCAAAATTATTACTCGGAGAAAGCCCATACTATTTATGTAATTTCTATTTTTCACAGCTGACGAACATGCAGTAATTTCTCCCTAATTCGTGCTCAGATTACGCACAAAAATGGACAATTTGGGAAGATGAGATACTATTATTCGAACCTTGCGGCTCGATTTTATAGTTACGGATTATGAACAACTATAAAAACGAGATATAAGACTCGAATAATGAGCGCGAATGAAGGAGAAATTACTGTAATCATTATTTTACATAAAAACCAGCAATCTAGTTATTATATTCTAAGAATGAAGCAAAATGTTAATTTTGCGACTCAACTATAACAATTTCATTGGTATACAAACAATAACATGCGTCAGACATATTATTCCACCGCTTGACGTATAAACATCCATTATAAATTACGTCAAATCTTCGAATCTTTTTCACAAATTTTTTCGATACATCATATTATATTATTTTTCTAATTACAGTAAATTCTCTCCAATCGTCCTTCAGTTTGTAAACAAAAATGGACAATTTCAGAATAATCGTTCCTCCTCTTCCTAAATTGTCCATTTA